CCCCAAAACCCCAAAACCCCATGCTATCAATCTTTTTGACATTTGTTAGAAATATTTTTAATAAATTATTAATGATATTTTATTGTTTGTCAATGCTATAAAATGAAAGAATTTTTTCAATCACTTAATCTTTATGAATAATTTTAGCTTTCATTTAATGATTTTTGTTGAATATTTATTAACCAAGAGCTATGAAGTTAGACTTTAATTTCCAGTTAGTAGCATTGTAAAGTTATCTCCATAAGTTTTATTTATTTATTCTTGTCTTTTAATAAGAATCTTATCTGCATTTAACGAAACGTAGGAAAATTCATGGAAACAGTCATTCGCAGTAAAGTCAGTTCGACCTTTTTCATAGATTGAAATTCTACTTCTGCCAAAATCTGAAGAATCTTCAGCATCCTCTAAAGGATCACACTTCATAAATATGACTGTAACCAAAGCGATTAAAGATGACAGAGTAGTAATTATCATCATACCTGGATATCCTATGTACTACTAAGCTTCAAATATTATTAATGAAAGCGTTAAAGTAGACAAGCAATTAGCTGTGAAGCAGTATGAATACAGATATGATCCATTCTCTGCTCCAAATACAAAAGCAAAGAAAGTTGGAAGTGAAACATATATAGAACCGTAAATGAAGTTTATAATGCATAGATAGAATGTGAAAACTAATTCATTCTACCCAACATAAGGTATAGTTGCTGATAATATTAAGGATCCAGACATTAGAATGCTGAAGAAACCTTTAAAAGATACTCTATCTAGTATCATTCCTCCAAGCAATCTTGAAAGTGCGTTAAAAAAGAGCGCTACTGAGCCAGCATATGTCAGGAATACATCTGAATGTCCTAATGATTCACCAAATGCTTTGAACTGGATAAAGATGTATTAAGAGAACATTATTGCAAAAAAGAAGAGGATGTAACTTTAATAAAATTGAGGGCAACTCACCAACTTAGCAAATCCTTGATTTAGTAATTTTTATTTTCTCTATAGAGTACGACTTCTCTATATTGCTGCATGATTTTCTTAAGGTAGCCATATGAGGAGAATTGCTACAATGGAGATTACTAGTATTTGGGATCCCATAAATGTGAAATAAGGTGGAACTCTAATGCTGACCTCATCATCAAAGTACTTATAAATGGATTTGACGTCATTTTAAGAAATCGGATCTCGCCCATCAGGATTTATTCTACTTGATGATTAAATATTGCCTATGATTGTTCCCAATCCATTTGATAGGAATATAAGACTGCAGACAAAGCCCTTTCTGTTAGGAAAACATTTCCAACCAACATACAAAGGTATCATAAACTATTAAGGTAATGATTTATTTGCTTATGTAATTACTATCATTCCTAGTCCTAGTCCACCAAGACAACTATAGAAAAGTACGAATTCTGAGTATTTAGTAGCAACGAGAGAGAGAAATTAAGAAAAAATATAAAGTCCCAAACCAATGGCCATAACTCTAAATGATAAGAAAATGAAATTTACATTTAGGGGTGCAAATAAAGAATAGTTTTAGTTCCAATAGCACTAGCAAAAGCCATTACCAAAGATTATATAGGGTAAATGGCGAACATCTAATCTAGTTGAATAGTTTAATCATAGATCCTTAAGTAAGAGCAAACATAAACTTAGATGTTTCCCCATATGTTCATTGTTCCAAGGATCTAAAGAAGATTGAATTAAAAATTTTTAAAGCTACAAGATGACATAGCATGCATCCAATTAGTGAAAGATATTTTCTCATTTGGAACTAGGTATACTTTTGATTGCTCATTTATCTTCGTTAAATTTGCAAGCACTCTCAAATTAAAATATTAATCAATGAGATTTCTCTTAATTTAATTATATATCAATCTTTACTATATACTGGTGGGCTTGGGGTTTTGGGGTTTTGGGGTTTTGGGGTTTTGGGG